TCCTTCTCCTCCTCCTTCTCCTTTTCATGGGATGATTGCCATAAGTATAATAATCAGATTATTTAAAAACAAATTATAAATAATGTAGACAATAGTTTGTGAATATTTCTATGTACGGGAAGTTTAAAGTCACACTTAGTGATTCTTTTCATGATAATTCTATTCTTTTCACGTTTATTGTTTCCAAAATTTATGATTTAGATACTGTTGGCAATCTGATTATTTTATAGTAGTAATACACTATGAAAGAATAAGGTGATTATTTATCTAGTATATTAGAAAGTTTTTTTAAAAACTTCAACTTATATAGTGCTGAAGTTTTTACAAATGAACTAAATAACTTCAGCATCTTCTGCTGAAGTTTTTGAAAAAGCTTTATGACTAAACTAATGAATCCATGACAAAAACATTTCAGCTTATTTAGTGCTGAAGTTTTTATAAATGAACTAAATAACTTCAGCATCTTCTGCTGAAGTTTTTGAAAAAGCTTAATGACAAAACTAATGAATTCAGGACAAAAAAAACTTCACCTTATTTAGTGCTGAAGTTTTTACAAATGAACTAAATAACTTCAGCATCACAAAACTTCAGCTACTATGCTTAAGTTCAGCAATTATAAACAAAAACTTCAGCAAATAGAGAACAAAACTTCAGCTACTATGCTTAAGTTCAACAATTACAAACAAAAACTTCAGCACACTTGGTTCAACAATTTTTGCTACTTCAGGCCCTCTACTAGAATGCTGAAGTTTTGCGTGATTGTCTTTGCTACTTCAGCCCCGTATACTGAAGTTATGCGAAAAAGTGGGTACGCTTGCAATTTTTTTTGTAAAGCAGACACAAGTTAAAATGTGACCCAAAAAGCGGATATAGATGCAAATGTTCCATGTATTGCATTGGTTTTTTTCCTCGGTCCATTGTTTTATGATAAGTTTTCACAGCTTATGCATGTGGTATCTTGAGCAATAACGGTTCATTAATTCTTACAGAATCCTTACCATTCTAAAGTGTTTTTAACATTTAAATGAAACTAAAAAAAGGAAAGCGGAAAAGGGATAAAGTGCATTAATCTTCTTTTACTATATATTGCATGAGATACTCTGTTCCTTCGCCTCTCTTAGGAGGATATATCCGCTGAATAGTTATAGGTCTGAAGAGAGGTCTTCAGTCTCCCTGTGCAGTACTGGAGCCATATGCCCATATGTTTGTTTGCAACTTTTGCCAAATCTGTGACGTCGGGCGTGGCAGGACGTGAGGACGCCATGGCATGAGGCAGGATGTGGCCATGGCACGAGACAGGATGTGTCCATAGCATGAAGTCGGGCATGCCAGGGCGTGGCCATGGCACGACGTCGACGTGGCCATGGCACGACGTCGGACGTGGCAGGCATGGCCATGGTACGACATCGGGCATGGCAGGACGCCATGGCACGAGGCAGGACGTGACCATGGCACGACGTCGGACGTGGCAGGGCGTGGCCATGGCATGACGTTGGACGTGGCAGGTCGTGACCATGCATGGAACGGGGCAGGACGTGGCCATGACACGGCGTCGGGCGTGGCCATGGCACGACGTTGGACTCGGCCATGGCACGATGTCGTACGTGGCAGTCCGCCATGACACGAGGCAGAATGTGGCTATGGTACGGCGTCGGATGTGGCAGGGCGTGACCATGACATGACATCCGACGCGGCCACGTCACGATGCAAGACATGGCAGGGGGTGGCCATGGCACGACGTCGCACCAAGTCGCACCACGTTGCACCATGTCTAGTGCTAGCCAATGCTTAGCCAAAAGTCAAGCGCAATGATGTTGGTGGTTGGTGGTCGTGGGTGGCGGTGGTGGAAAGTTGCGGTGGTTCTAGCGATAGTGACTGGCGACGGTTGGTTGATGCTTGGTGGTTGGCGGCGGTGATTTGAAATTGAAATCACATGCCGTGAGTCCAAAATTTAGAGTCAGTATGATCTTATTAACAAAGTATATGCATATAACATAACTTTATTTGCATATGTATCCTGACTGAAAAACAATTATAATGGGTTCGATTAAATTCACAAATACGCTTTATATTCACCTATGTACACGTAGAAACACATATCCACGTGTTGATTGGTGTTCCAGAGAGCAATTAAGGCTTAATATAAGGAGATGAGCTTCTTTTTATGCGTAATAGGGCAGAAAACAGATGTACCTATTCTTGTTCAATGTGAATCTGTTACTGTCAAAGCTCAGATCTGCATACCTCCTCTTCATTATTGTCCTTGCAAATAAACACACTAAATTAATGCGTGCAACTCCAGTTTTCATCAGTTTATAAACCATGTATTCACTACTGCCAAAGCACCCTTCTTCCATCATTATATGCTCCGAGTGTACTGAAGTGTATGACCACTTTATCTAAAAGTTTAAACTGTTAGCCAAAAAGAACACATGATCTTACTAACTTAATTGTATTATATCTCAACAAGGTGCGACTATAGTAAATTAACATTGGGTATACATAGAATAACAAGGCAACCATGATTTACTAATGGTACTTATAATTAACGACTCAAACTCTTTTTCACTTGCATATATATGTAGTTGTTTATCCAAAATATCAGGATTTCAACTTGTTTTTAATTTATCTCTTAGACCTTTTGATCACCTGTTCTTCTATCTGTATATTTCTTAGCTACTTTGCGACTGGTTACACATCACGCATGATGTCATTTTACAATGTGCTTCGTTCAAGAATCACAGCTAACTAGGGTTAGCTTTCTAATTCTTTCTCACTAAAGCAAAGCTCTTATAATTGAATAATTAATATTATAAGCTTTTTAGAGAAGTGGGTAAAAGAGGATGGAGGAACAGTGGTTTTCGCTCCCCACTAGCTAGGATTCCTCTTCCAGGAAGATATTGGAGGAGTGGTCCCCTAATCACTTTACAGAAACCCTAGGTTCCCTCTCTTAAACCCTAAGTACTCGAAAAGTCATGGTGAAATTCAAGTTGTCGATACAGAGATCAGACTAATAAAATATTAGCATGTACTGTACTTTACAACAACAATCCGGTAAAATCCCACAAGTGGGATCTGGGGCCTTACCCTTACCCCGAAGGGGTAGAGAGCTTGTTTCCGAAAGACCTTCGACTCAATTATAAGAAAAAAATAAACAATATCGACAATAGATTAGTGACAACAACAAAATCCAGAAAAAGAATATTAGCATCGTAAGAGACAGAAAATAGATGGAAAAGCAATAACAATAACCAGTAATAATGCCATAGAAAATAGTGTGGAAACTACATAAACCACTAACAACCCAAGGCGAAACATTATTAGCCACGCCTCCGTACAAAGTAGAAAAACGCTCAGCTCTTTCCTAACCTACAAACCTAATGCTCGACCTCCACACCTTCCTATCATGAGCCATGTCCTCGGAGATCTGAAGTCGCGCCATGTCCTGTCTGGTCACCTCACCCCAATACTTCTTAGGCCGCCCTCTACCTCTCCCCATACTTGCCAATATTAACCACTCACACCTCCTAACTAGGTCATCTAGGCTTCTCCTCCGCACGTACCCGAACCATCTAAGCGTCGCTTCCTGCATCTTGTCGCCCATAAGAGGCACGACCACCTTCTCCCCAATATCTTTGTTCCTAATCTTATCCAGCCTAGTGTGTCCGCACAACCATCTCAACATCCTCATTTCTGCCACTTTCATCTTCTGGGTATGAGAATTCTTGGCTGCCCAACATTCAACCCCATACAACATGGTCAGTCTAACCACCGCTGTATAGAACTTGCCTTTAAGTTTTAGTGGCACTTGTCACACAAGACACCAGATGCTAACCTTCATTTCATCCACCCCAGTCCTATACGATGCATGACATCCTCGTCTATCTCCTCATCCTCCCTGGATAATTGACCCAAGGTACTTGAAACTTCCTTTCTTAGGGATAATTTGTGAGTCAAGCCTCATGTCCATGTCTGCTTCCCCCGACACATCGCTGAACATACATTCCAGATATTCTGTCTTAGTCCTACTCAACTTGAAACCTTTAGATTCAGGGTCTGTCTTCAAACCTCCAGCCTCTCGTTAATGATGTCTCGCATCTCATCAATCAAAACTATATCATCAGCGAACAACATACACCATGGCACATCCCCTTGAATACGGTGTATTAGTGCATCCATCACCAAGGCAAATATAATAGCATCTACTGTACTTTAATTTGACGTTCATTATTTACTGAAAAATGTCTAGTGCCTGGTTCAGGTATTATGAAAAATGATATCCAGAAAATTACATTTTGAAAAATAATTTTCAGTTCCACCACAACCCTGAATAGAGATAATTAGGAAGTAACACGGTCATACACGATAGAGTGACTGAGTGAGTTAATTAGCATGTCTAGTTTGAGATAATAAAGGCTTCAGCTTAGGATCTCTAAGATAGCTAATTGTTTCTATACGGTTTAATAAGATCAGTTCTATGTGGTACATTCTATTATATATATATAGTCATTAAGGATTTTCAATTCAACTAGCCTTTAATTTGAAAGTTGCAGAGGTAAATAATGCTCTAATATTTTTGAATGAATTTGGGGCTGGTGGCTTTTAGGTAGTACACATTTTATCGAATGGAAGGAAATTAAAATGCATGCGTTAAATAACTATGGTCGTCAAGTATACAAATTTTAAAGAATTACATGGTGGGCAGATCGATGTGGTACGAAAAAACCTTCACTATAAGGTTAGAAATGGAGAATTTAGATGAATAGATCACCGGTGATATATTCATCGGATTGGTTTTGATCAATGATCATATAATTAATATCAGCTTGCTTTTTTGTCATCAAATTATAATAAGTACTTATAATTCTGGAAGATAACATGATAGCTTTACGCATCTGATCATCAATCAGCTAGATATTATAGGAATGTTTCTCAAAAATCAGGAATTCTTGATAGAGCAAAAAAAGAGGAAAAAAATGGAAAGTGGTAAAAATATGACAGCATACTGGATCATAGATTAATACACAGTACGCTCCGATTTTCCTGATATATATACTCTAGCTGCTTGTTGAAAATTGGAACTAAAGGATAAACATAGTATATTTCTTTTTCAAAAATCCCAAACCTAGATCCATACACATGGATCTGCAGCTGAAGTAAGGAAAACAAAAAAGAACGATCCAAAAATAAAGAAGTAGAAACACTTGTGAATAATGATTATAATTTGAAGATTGTCTCTAGTCGGACAAAGCTCCGAATAGCCGATTTTCACAGATTTGGAACGACACAGAGAAAATTAGCATGAACCAAAAAAAAGGGTCAGAATCTTTAACAGTTGAAACTACAACACTGAATTGATCATCCCCTTCAGTTAGAGCTTTCCATTATACTTTAAGTAGTGGTAATATCTTGATTCTCAGATTCACTTGCAGCTTCATGGTCTGTATCTTCATCATTTGAACCTTTGGTCTGATTTGCCCTTTGTCTTTCAAACTCCCTTAATTTATACAAGTACCTCAACATGGCCTCGGCATAGTTGTCAAAACCTAATGAACTGAGAGCCCAACAGATGTCATCTCCATTAACCGTCCTTCGATTCTCCTTGTGACACTTGTCAGATGCTTCCCCAGTAACAAAACCTATAAACTCTGATGCACATTCTTGAATTGTCTCTTTAGCTTCTTTGGAGATTTTGGCAGTTGGTGGTAGGATTTGTTTCATTATCCTTCCTACATTAGCTATTGGAACCAATTTCACATGTTCATCCACCTCCATCTTATGGATTTAGTTGATCTTCTAAAATGCAGACACGTTTCTATTTTCTCCAATTACTGGCCAACAGCTTCTACAAATTGTTTACATGTTCTAGTGTATATAGGCGGATCTAGGAATATAATTTAAGTTAGTGAGGGCAAAAAATCACCATACGGATTACTTTTATATGACAAAGGGTGTCAATTTAGGGAGTGTTTAATTTTTTTGGGTATGTGTTGTAAATTTTCAACGGTATATATAATTTGAGTTGAAAGCAGAAAAGACGCTTGATAAGGTAGTTTTCTCCCATAGTATTGTATGTATGTACATGTTAGCATGCATGTGCATGGAGAAGCGTGACATATATACATGGGGAGAAACATACAATACTCACAATGAAGGTCATATAATATATATATATATATATATATATATATATATATATATATATATA